CTTTCCCTGCTTCCCACCAGTACTTCAATTTGGATGGGGTGCGTGTCACATCCCAGGTATGTTCTCACTCAACTGCCAGTCTGTACAGAGGTGATGCTCCTCTGAAGTGTTTCATTGCAAACTGTCCCATGTGCTCCTGAATGTTCAGAAAATGTCTTTGGAGCTAGTTAAGTTGTTTCTAGTGGATTTTTTTTTCCCCAGTAGAAAATTATATTTTATTAGTGTGAAAACAGTTCGAATATAAGAATAGCAACATATGCATCTTGTATAAAAAGTGTTTTGGCCCTTCATTTTGAATTGACTCTCTTCTATATAAAGACATAAATTAAAAAAAAATATTGCAATGTGTTTTAGCAATAACAGAAAAGAGCTGTTCACAATACCTGAAACAAAGGTATATTTTTGTTTCCATTTCACAGATTATTTATAACATTTCTATTATTAGATGCTATTAAAAATGCCTGTACAGAGGCAACATGATGATTTTCTTTCACATGTAGTTAGAGTAAATCGATGCAGATTGTTAGGCAAACACTGAATGACATGTCTGCTTTCTATGATCCTCTCCTTAATGTATTTTTTTTCAACCTCCAAGAGGCAGCAGGCAGTGTTTGTCTTATTAAAAAAGAGTGTTGTCTTCATTTAGAAAGGATGTAGTAGTTTTTGTCCAAAGTTGCCAAATTCATCCCTGAGTGTGGGAACTGGAGATCCACTGCAGTGTCAAGCACTACAAAGAATAATTAGCTCTCCTTGTTATGCAAAATGATGGGGCATAGGGTATGCCTTAAGTTATCCATTTTGTAATTGTTTGAAGACATTCAGCCCATTCCTTGTGCCCAGTTTGGTCACCAATGCAAATGTTTAGGAGGCTCAGGAGCCCTTTGATGTCTCCAACCAACACTGGTGAAAGGGCATGGGTTGGCTGGGGGCCTGAAGACTCGGGGAGAGGCAACCTGTGGCAGCTGATGGTGGAGGTGGAGATGGGAGTAGAGCTGGCTATAGCCTTCGTGGTGCCCAGGAGCTTCTGGCAGGAGCCCAGCATCCCCAGAACTGGGTGTCACCAGGGCTCATACCAAGGACGGCTGGAAGCACTGCTCCTGGGTTCGCTCAGAAGAATTTCCTGGTCTCCAGCCTGCAGTTGCAGTGTTGGACACCAGCATCCCTAAGCCTGGGGCCACAGCTGCTGCCTGGTGTTTCCCACCAGTCCCCAGGATGGAGCAAGAGCTGGGATGCTCCTTCCCCTAGCGCTTCCCAAACCCTTGCAGGGGGCTCTGTCTGTGGGAAACTGAGAGATCAAGAAGAAACCTTGCCAGGGAGCCCTGCATTAGCTTTCCTGCAGTCCCAGTCCCCGCCCAGGGTCCACACTGCTTCTGTCCAGGGCTGTTTTCTTGTGAGAGGCATCCAGACACTCTTACCACAATGCACTTGATCAGATACCTGGCTGGGAGGGCACATGTTCTGAAGATGTCCCCACAAGTGGTGATCCCCTGAGTGTCTGGAAGCTGTGGACCCCACAGATCCACCCCCAGAGTGGCCAGCAGGACCCTGTTACCACATCTGAGCATCCCTCCTAACGTGCTCAATCACTTCAGATGAGTGTGGTGATTTGGCCCGCAGCCTTGGACTAGCTTTGTATACGCGGCTCTGTTTGGTTCAGGAGCCACAGCAGATTGCTGCTGTGCAGACACACAGAGAAGCTGTCTGCCAACTTAAATTGGTTCACATTTTTCTTTGGCTTTTTTTTTGGCTGATAAAACATGATTTTTTAGAAACAATTTTTGCAAATCCTTCAAGCATTTCACAGACTGTCCATGTTTCAAGAAACTCTTTGTTGATCAGACTTCAGTTTCAGTGTAAATTTGGCTCAGGGGAAGAGGAACCAGATGAGGACTCAAAGTCAAACCTATGAGGAAATAAGTGTGTTATTTTGAACTGGGATTTCCAAACTCAAATCAACCACCAAACCTCTGCAAAAAATCAAGCTGGGAGAATCAGCAAAGGTGTTTGGACTTCAAATCACCTGGGATGCCCTGGACCTGCTGGAGAAGTCCAGAGGGGTGAAAGGGGAGAAGTGTTTGAAGTGAATTGCTGGAGAGGTGATGGCTGAGCAATGTGCCAAGGGGAAAGAATAGGTCTGATAAGGGAGGGTGGAGAGGTGTAAATGCTCTTTCCTTGTGGTCTGGGATTAAAGGAGAGCACCCGCATGAGCACACCTTTCTGAGACAGACAGACATCAATTTCCCAGGCTATAACCTGTCTTGTAAGCATGCCCATTGCATTCAATTTAAAGTCCTCCAGGGGCAGAGATGAAGTTCCCTCAAACAGTTGGACAAATGATTTTAAAACAACTGTGTTGTTAGTGCCATCCAAGGGCCTGGGAGGGTTCATCCAAGCCCTTGAGCACTAAAACTGTAAACTTTTCCTGACCTATTTTTCTCCTAGCCTGCCTGGGAAAGGTCCAAGGGAGTGCTGAGGCCTGATCAGACAAAGAAGGCAATCAGTTTTCTGCGTGCTCATCTTTTCTTGATCTTTATTGTCTGTGTTTCTGTTCTAGATCTTTTCACTGTCATTAGTCTAATTCCCAAACACCTCAGTGATACCCAGGCACCTTCAGTGCCAGGTCCAAATGGATAAAATTGATGCTGTAGTTTTTAGAAGAGAAAAATGTTCCTGAACACTGTTAATAGTAGAGGTCTTCCAGGCCTTTGCAGAGCTGCTCTGCATTACCCTGCAGAATGATGTACCATTGGCATTCCCAAGCCTCTGGTTGGACTGCACTCTTGGAGAAACAAGTTCCTGCCAGACCACTCTCTTACCAGCCATCCACACCAGAGCACTGCTCAGTCAAAAGCTTAATACAGGAAGAAATTAACTCCATGAATGTTGTCCTTCAGCTGCTTTGCAGCTGTGATGCAAAGTCTGCACAAACCTGGGTCGTGAGTAAAATCCATCTTGCAAATGCCAGTGTACTTGCAGTTCTGCTCCAGCATGATGACTAATTGAGAAAGCACCAGGCTGTCCCAGGGACTTGAGGAGAGCATTGGTTCAACATGGTCTGCTGTATGGAGCCCCACAGTGAATGACTGTTCTTCGTGGGCCTCTAATGTTGCTGGTACTGCAGCTTCTGATTCTCTGTGTGAAGGCACCAGTGCTGTTCTCAGAAGTGAATGAACATGAAAGCAAAATCACAAGATGACTAGCAATGTGCAGAGTGGAAAAGAAAGGAGACCAGAAGACCCCAAAGGCAAACTCCATCATTTATTGGTGGGCAAGACAACCTCTGACTCATCCTGTGGTCCAGCAGCTGATGAGGCTGAGGACACAGCCCCCTCTGGACAAAGGGTGTGCAAAGTTGCGTGCAAGACTATCCATTGACTTCTACTTCACTGTTGCCTGCAGGCAGCCAAAGCAGCACAAGAGAGCAACAGCCTGTACAACTTGCACCTTTGTGTGAGGAAACCTTGGTTCATCAGAAGATGGGACCTTCTGCCTGATTGTCTCTTTGATACTCTCTGTCCTTCAGGAGTCCACTGCAGAATCACAGAATCATAGACTTATAGAACGGTTTAGGTTGGAAAGGACTTTAAAGATCTAGTTCCAACCACGCTGCCATGGGCAGGGACACCTTCCACTAGACCAGGTTGCTCAAAGCCTCATCCAACCTGGCCTTGACACTTCCAGGGATGGGGCCCCCACAACTTCCTTGGGCAACTTGTTACAGTGCCTCACCACCCTCATAGTAAAAAGAAGTTGGTGAGGAGGAGTGGATGCTTTACTCCTCGCTGGGAGTTTCAACTCTGATCTCATGGTTGCACGGACAAGAAGAAATCCCTCCATGCCCACCCAGTGGAGTTTCACAGCTGAGACAAAAACCCAGTCCCTTGATCACACCTTCAGTCCTGCTTGACGGGATTGCACAAACTATGTGTCTGACTTCTTCCTTCTGACAGGCCCTGCCTACTTCTTGTGAGGTTATCTCACCTCTCTGGTGAGTCTGTGTGGGGTGGGAGTTCTTGGGCTGACTGAGCCCATTGTAGTGACGAAGTTAGCAGATCTCGGGGACTTGCTTGTAAACTTGCCAGTTCAGATTTTGAGCTGTCAGCTGATCTGTTCCAACCAGTGATCCTGCCAAGGAGGCCTGACCTCCACAAGGAGTGCTTCTGGATGCTCAGCTAAAGGCATAATTACTAAGGGCAGTGATGGATCCATCACCTACACAAGTGCAATACCCTCTATACTGTTATGATACGGCTGCTCAAGCCCTCAGCTAGAAAAACTGCACACAAGGGGTGGGACAGAAATTTGGAAGTAGTCTCATTGTCATTTTTAAATAGTGTCTTCGGTTCCCCAGCTTTGAAAACCTAGCCATGGTCCCTGGTGAAGCAGGCCCTGGGCAGGAAGATCGTAGCAGTACTTCTCCCAAGGCCCAAAACCCTGTGTTCAGGTGGGCTTTACCTCCAGCACAAAGGGAGATGGGGAATAGCAAATGGAGAGGGTGCTGAGGCTGGATCAGGCACAGGAGGAGGAAGTGAGGAAGAAGGATAGTGCTGAGAGAAAGTGGGCACAGAAGAGGGAAGCATTTCACATCCCCATTGAGCTCAAGGCTTGGAGAATCAATCTGAAGTTTCTAGCAAACACCTTCATCAGAGCCTGCCCAGGGATATCCGTACTCCCATTCCTTCTCCTGTGTCTCCCTGCTGGGAGGCAGGCTTGGAGGAATGACCTGTTTGTTCAGGCCCATGGTCGCCCCATGGTGGTGTCTCTGTCCATGCTGCCTTGGTCTCCTGCACTTCCTTCTAGAAATGCAGCACCTGATTCTGGACTCATTTTTCTGATGACAGATTTGTATTTTCTTGGCAGGATCTGAGCGAGTTAAATTCAACAACAGTGAAGAGCCCCACCAACACTGTGGCAGTGCAAAACCTCAAAGCTGGCACCATCTACGTCTTCCAGGTGCGAGCACGTACTGTGGCCGGGTATGGCCGGTATAGTGGCAAGATGTATTTCCAGACCATGACTGAAGGTGAGTCTTCAGCTGCCTCTGTATAAAGGTGACACAAGGTCTAGAGAAACTTGAACAAGATGGAGATGCACTGGCAGCAGTGCTGGTCCCCTTGCTGTTAGTCCCTTCAAGGGTGCATTGACAAGTCACATGCATTTATTCAACCTGGCAAGACCTGGAAAGAGGCATGGACACTTGGTGGTCCACGCAGGGAATCACATAATCCAGGCCAATTTCTACCAAGCGTTTCTGGCACAGGGACATGTCCACTCAGTTGGATTTAGAGCAAGTGAAATTTATGATTTTCACATGCACAGCTGTTGATGACAAATGCAGACCTGGGTCTCTATTTTCTAAATTTGTGCTGCTAGATAACAGGCCAAGACAGTTTTCTGGCCCTGAGGCCAAGCAGCAAGGCACAGCTTGCATCCATGGGACTAAACTTTCTCACCCAAAAGGGGTAGCCACATCCAACCTTCCTACTGGGGCACATCCCCTGTCATAGCCAACATTAGCCATGCCTGGGACAGTACTAGCTGTCCTGAACCTAAACCATGCCAGGAAGCCTGTTAGCAATGACCATGCAAATGTGGGCAGTGCTCAGGGCCATGCTCTGAACTTGATGCACTTAGTGCAGACCCGTCCTGTGCCTCAGTAACCTGTTCCCTCTTCCTTGTGTGCCAGCCGAGTACCAGACCAGTGTGCAGGAGAAGTTGCCACTCATCATCGGCTCCTCCGCAGCAGGATTGGTGTTCCTTATTGCTGTAGTCGTCATCATTATTGTGTGCAACAGGTAGGTCAGTCTGAGTGCAGGACCCAGGGCTGGGGCTGTGCAAGGGGATGGTGACTGGAGACGGAGGGTGGCAGGAGTAGGGGAGGGGCAGGGAGGATGGGGAGGGGAAGGTGAAGGGCGAAGGAGATGCCCCTGCAGTGCATCTCTCAGCCCCAGTGGACCTGTGCTGGTGCTCAGGACTCCCTTTCTTTCCAGAAGACGGGGCTTTGAGCGTGCTGACTCCGAGTACACGGACAAGCTGCAGCACTATACCAGTGGCCACAGTACGTACCGCGGCCCCTCACCAGGCCTGGGGGTCCGCTCTCTCTTCGGTTTGTGTTCCTGTTCACTCATTCCTTGTGGTATGTGGGGAGGGCTCAGGCCACCTAGCCAGGCAGGCGTGTGCATGTGTATACAGGAGAACCTCCATGCTATCTGGATCCCCCACCAGTCCCCTATGATGCAGATCCCTGCCCTGCCTCGTAGATTCCATGCTCTCCAGACCTGTGTGCTATTGGGTGCCAACCATGCAGTGAGCACCTGTGCATGCTCTACAGACCCCTGCGACATCCAACACACACCCCTCCACCTGCCCCCAAAGACTCACCCTCTTCTGCCATGCAGCCCCTGCCACCACACCTTGTCTTACTGCTCCGATTCCTGAGCTTTGCCCAGGTGGTGGGCAGCAGTGAGTCCCCGTTCCAAACTGACCCACATCCTACAGAGTGCTGTCCTTCTGCAGGAACCCACATACCTCGTGGTGCCATGGCTGGAGCCCATCCCGGTGCTCCCAGTGTCCTAGTAGATATGAGATATATCTATGTATATATATATAGGTGTATAATACAATACGTAACATGCCCTCTCTTGCAGCCTCCCTCTTCCAACATCCTTGTGTACTGCAAGGCACTCCCTCACATCCAGCGTTCCTGCTCAAGACCTTCCTGCACACCCTACCTCAGCCCAGTGCATCCTCCTTCCCCTCGTTAACCCCTGGCAGCATGCCCTCTGCATCGCCTTTCTCCTCCCTCACCAGAGACCTGTCGCTATAATCCTGCTTTGTTCGAATCTCAATTGTTATTTACCTCCTGTTATACTTGCAGCTTCAGGATTTCCTTCCTTTTTCTGCCTTGCTCCTGTACAGACCTGGTTCTTGCTCAGAAAATGGAAAACATCATAGAATCACATAATCACAGAATGGCAGGGGTTGGAAGGGACCTCTGGAGATCACCTAGTCCAACCCCCCTGCCAAAGCAGGGTCACCCAGAACAGGCTGGACAGGAACACATTGAGGCAGGTTTTGAATCTCTCCAGAGAAGGAGACTCCCCCACCTCTCTGGGCAGCCTGCGCCAGTGCTCTGCCACCATCACAGGAAAGAATTTTTTCCTCATGTTGAGATGGAATTTCCCGTGTTCCAGTTTGTGCCCGTTACCCCTTGTCCTGTCACTGGGCACCACAGAAAAGAGTGGCCCCATCCTCTTTTCACCCACCCTTTAGATATTGATCAGCATTGATGAGATCCCCTCTGAGCCTTCTCCTCTCCAGGCTGAACAGCCCCAGGGCTCTCAGCCTTCCCTCATCAGGGAGATGCTCCGGTCCCCTGATCATCTCCGTAGCCTCCGCTGGACTCTCTCCAGTAGTTCCTTGTCTTTCTTGAACTGGGGCGCCCAGAACTGGACATCAGTATGGTTTCAGCACAGGACTCACTGTTGCTTCTGCATTTACCTGGGGAACATTTCCCAAAAGGCAGGGCACTCAGCTGCAGCCAGAGCAGCAGTGTGCCAGCTGCATTGCTCTACTTCCCAGGAAAAATGACACTCTCCAAGAAAGATTATGTAAATGCAGCTCTCAGTTGTTTGTCAGTCCGTGCTGCATGTGTAAACATACATTCACACTTTATCCTGGGGTCTGGTGCAGGATATGACAGCTTCAGGCTGGGATGGCATTAATAGCTGTGCCTTCACAACTGTTGGAACAGGCTCGATGCCACTGGGTGCAGATGAACTGATAACGGGCCTGGGGTGCCTTTTAGCCACATCGTCAATCAGGACACCAGTCCAAGGCACGGTCCCTGCTCAGCTCCCAAGCAGTGATTGCTGTGGAGAGGCTGCAGCTTATGGTTAGCTAATTGCCAAGGCGCAGAGAGCCTGTAAGCATTGCAGTGTCTCCCCTGAATCCTACCGGCATCCTGCAGGTGGAGCTGGGAGTTGTGCCTCTGGTTCTGTGTTGGGCTCCTTATTTAGTGAGCTGGGAGCTCTGTTCTCCAAATACCCCCAATTTTGGAGCAAGCCAGAGGCCAGCAAAATGAGTCTAGAAAGGGGAGAACTGCAGGACTGCAGCTAAGAGCTGTCCTGCTGTGTAGGTAGTGTGTGATGTGGCATCAGCAGTCCAACCTCACCAGGTCTCACGGCCTTTGCCTTTCACATAAGCATATTGCTGTGTCTTCTGGTCTGCCTAGCAGGAAGAACTTGGCTTTTGTGATTTCCTCAGTGTCTCTTACAGCCTGTCTTGGCCATGTTGAAGCTACCATGAGGGAACTCATCCTCACACAGGGTTATCTGTCAGGAGAACAGGGGGCAGAATGGCCTGTCCATCCTGCTTGCACTGCCCCTGGCAGGGTGACAGACACCCCCGTGGAGGAGTCAGTCTGGCTTGGTTGGTGTGTCAGTAGTACCAAGCACCTAGAGTTGCCTCCCCTACAGATCTCTATGTAGACAACCAAAAGCAACATGTGCCTCAGTTTACATCCCAAGGCAGACCTTCACCATCTACTGTCTTGAGTGCTGAGCCCAGGTCTCCTCCTCCGCTTTCCCGTGCCTCTTGTGGGATGGTGTGTTGAGGAAGCAGCATGCAGAGGAGGCCTATGGGGCAGAGCTGCAGTCTCTGCAAATGGTCCTCTTGCAGTGTTGCAGCATGGAAAGTGTGGTGTGACATTGACGTGCCTATGCCCCATCTCACAAGAGCAAATGCTTCTCTTTCTTGTCCTCTGGATCTGCTAAAGCTGAATCCTGCTGCAGAGGATGTGTGGTTCTCTGTGGTCACTGTTTGCAGTCCTAGCTAATGATGTAGCCCTCCACTGCCCCAACAATGACTTATGGGCCAATATTCATTATAATCCAGCTTTAATAGTCCGGTGCAAACACGGGTTCTGCATGTTCTTTCTCAAACTGCTTTGCTTTGTCTGCCTCATGCTCTTGATTATGCAACTTGCTGACGTCAAAAAGACCCTCACACAAATTGGCTTCTCTTTTCCTCGATGCCAGCCATCAGGTGTTCCACTTGCGACTGTCTGTCTGACTCTCTCCCTCACCTTTATGCAGTGACTCCAGGGATGAAGATTTATATCGATCCGTTCACCTACGAAGATCCCAATGAGGCTGTCAGGGAATTTGCAAAAGAAATTGATATCTCTTGTGTCAAAATCGAGCAGGTGATTGGGGCAGGTAGGTGAATTGTGAATGTCTGGCTGACCCTCAGCCGCAGTCTCCTTTGTGGTTTCAGGTTTTGGTGAGGATTTAGCCTTACACATACTGGGAAGAATAGTGTCACTTAGCCCCAGCCTGGACTAGCAGGAGCAAGGTGGTCCACTGCTGGAGGACGAAGCACACCCAATGCTGGAGACAAGGAATTCCCATGTGCCCTATTGTGTCCAGTGTCCAATGCTCCACACCAATGATAAGTCTACCTGAGGTCTTTGGTGTGGAGTGAGGGAGGAAGCACAGAGCAGATAGGCGGTGGGTGGTCTGCTGAGGGACATGCAGGGAGTGCATGGCTGGGGCCTATGGGAGCAGGGTCTTATGGGGAGAAAGACAGAGGTCTGGGAGGCTGACAAGATCTAACAGTTTCCCTCTCTTCACAGGGGAGTTTGGTGAGGTGTGCAGTGGGCATCTCAAGCTTCCTGGCAAAAGAGAGATCTTTGTGGCCATCAAGACCTTGAAGTCTGGTTACACAGAGAAGCAGAGACGGGACTTCTTGAGCGAAGCCAGCATCATGGGGCAGTTTGATCACCCCAATGTCATCCACCTGGAGGGGGTGGTGACCAAGAGTTCACCAGTCATGATCATTACTGAGTTCATGGAGAACGGCTCACTGGACTCCTTCTTGCGGGTATGAGATCCCAGGAGCATGCAAACCCAGACATTGTGTTGGGCCAGAGGAGGACTGGAGGGGAAGGTTCCCTTCCCTGTGCCAGTATAGCAGTGTCCTCCACTGTTCAGTATCCCCTGCCACTGGGGTAGCTGCTGCATAGTCCAGAGGTCTGTGTCTTAGGAACAGAGGTGGAGGTGGCACCAAAGCTGTCATCTCTTACTTGTGTCTGTCTACTCATGCTAGCAAAAGGCTGTGCCTACTGGTACACCTGCCCACAGATGCATTTACAACCTTTGCCTCTGTGGAGATGGAGGAACAGTCCAACATAGCTTTAACACAGCAAGACTTCACCTCCAGCTGCTCTGTCTAAATATTTATAGGTCTGAGTTTGAAATGGTTAATTCACTGTGTTGATGGGAAATAACCTGCTTAATAGGGATAGATTGCCCCTTCTGAACCCTCCTGTGCAAGGTGTGAAAGATCTGCTACTTTTGGATGACAGCAGCCATTGGTAGTGATGCCCATAGGGTGTTTGAGGGTGACTTCTAGCCCCTGTGAGCTCTTCAATGTCCACCCTCTTGCTTTGAGAGGGAACTTACTTGTGACATAGCTGTGTCTTGACATGTGGTATAGAAAGAGGCTACTGGCTGTGTGACAGGACTCAGAGGGGTGTGATCAGTGGCACGAAGGCTAGTTGGAGGCCTGTAACCAGTGGTGTCCCCCAGGGGTCGATACTTGGTCCAATTTTGTTTAATATATTCATTGATGACCTGGATGAGGGGACAGAGTGTATCCTCAGCAAGTTCGCTGATGATACCAAACTGGGAGGGGTGGCTGACTCTCCAGAGGGCTGCGCTGCCATCCAGCATGACCTGGACAGGCTGGAGGGCTGGGCAGAGAGGAACCTAATGAGGTTCAACATAAGCAAGCGCAGGGTCCTGCACCTGGGGAGGAAGAATGCTAGGCACCAGTATAGGTTAGGGGTGGACCTGCTGGGAAGTAGTTCTGAGGAGAAGCATTTGGGGGTCCTGGTAGATAGTAAATTGTCAATGAGCCAGCAACGTGCCCTTGTTGCCAAAAAGGCCAATGGAATCCTGGGCTGCATAGGGAAGAGTGTGTCCAGTAGGTTGAGGGAGGTCATTCTCCCCCTCTACTCGGCACCGGTGAGGCCACAACTGGAATACTGTGTCCAGTTTTGGGCTCCCCAGTTCAAGAGGGACAGGGAACTGCTGGAGAGGGTCCAGCGAAGGGCAACCAAGGTGGTTGAGGGATTGGAGCATCTCCCTTATGAGGAAAGGCTGAGAGAGCTGGGACTCTTTAGCCTGGAGAAGAGAAGGCTGAGGGGAGACCTTATTATTGCTTACAAATATCTAAGGGGTGGGTTGAAGGAGGATGGAGCCAGACTCTTCTTGGTGGTTCCCAGTGACAGGACGAGGGGCAATGGGCACAAGTTGGAACATAGGAAGTTCCGTTCCAACGCATGGAAAAACTTCTTTACAGTTCGGGTGACAGAGCACTGGCACAGGCTGCCCAGGGAGGTTGTGGAGTCCCCTTCTCTGGAGATTTTCAAAACCCGCCTGGATGCAGTCCTGAGTAATGTGCTCTGGGCAATCCTGCTTTATCAGGGGAGTTGGACTAGATGATCTCTAGAGGTCCCTTCCAACTCTGAAAATTCTGTGATTCTGTGATTCTGTGATTCTGTGGGTGTTTGCTGGACCATGGCGGGCTGTGAATTTACTCCTCTCATGTGGACTTTTCCCCTCTCTTCCCCTAAGCAAAACGACGGGCAGTTCACAGTGATCCAGCTGGTGGGCATGTTGCGGGGCATCGCGGCAGGCATGAAGTACCTGGCCGATATGAACTACGTGCACCGGGACCTGGCTGCCCGCAACATCCTGGTGAACAGCAACCTGGTCTGCAAAGTGTCCGACTTCGGCCTCTCTCGTTTTCTGGAGGACGACACCTCTGATCCCACGTACACCAGTGCACTGGTAAAGCTGCTCTTCCAGAGGGGGAGGAATGGGTGGTGAAGGAAAGAGAGAGGGAAGGGGGAGATCCTCCCTTGATGTGGGGAGCACTTTTTCAGGGTGCCAACAATGGAAATAAGGTGCCAGATGGGAAAGACCAATGAAATGAACCAAGGAAGATTTTCTCTTGCAAGGTCCTGTACAGTTGTCCAGCAGCTGTTGATGGGTCATGTAGTCATTGCTGTGGATAGCTGAGCCTCTTCCAAACATGTCTGCAAACATATACATGTCCCTGATAAAGTCGTTAGCTGGGATGATGCATTATATCCATCCAGCATGGACCGGCCAGGGGACGCTTCCTCAACAGATTTGTTGCCAGAGCAGCAAGTCTTGATTTTTTTTTTTACCATCCCTGTCCAATTGTGTTGCCCTGCTGTCTGGGAGGCCATGATGATTTTTGATCTCATGTCAGGGGCTCAGCCCCAGGAATGACAGACTGAAGTGTGGATGCATGCTGGGTGAAGCCCTGCAGTACTACATACTGATCTTCCAGAGTCTTTCTGAATTAGACGGAGAAACTTTCCCAGAAATAGCTTCATGATGATGTAACAGCTTCCCAGGAACACCACGGTGCCAGTGATGCAAGTGCCACCAAGGACTCACGGCCTGTCTCAGGCTACAGAATGTGCATCGGGGCCAAAGGATAATTTGAAGACTTGGTTGTTGTCCAGTACAATTACAACCAGGAGTGCTCATAAATACCATTGTTTGCAACGGCATACAGTGTCGCTCCACAATGATGCTCCAGGATCAATGCCTAAATACAATGCCTATGACAGGACTTATTGGAAATAAGTGTTGATAGTGCTGGGGCATGATCTGTAGGAAATCATCTCTCCCAGATCTTTTGAAGCTGCCAGTGATGAGATGTCTGGCATAGCTCTTAGTGTATTGTAACAATAGTTGAATACCTAACAAACGCTTTAAAATGTGCACTTTTATTCTAATCTGAAGTTGTCTAGCTTCAAACATCAACCATTTGATCTTATACAGTCATCCTATGTCTTTTAGAAACACTAGCAACTTTTATTTTTCACAACATGATCCTTACATCCAATTAATTCTCCTTTTGTTAAGCTAAATACATGGGAGCTTCTGATGTTTACTGCTGTTTTCTATTCCTGTTATTGTGCCTGTAGCTTTTCTCCCTGTCATCTCTGATTTCTTCTTCTTGAACTGTGGGCACTGTAGCAGGACATATATTATCTATAATGATAGAATATGTGCACTCATTGTAACAGAGTACCAGAAGTAATAGTATCTTCCTCTTCAAAATGCACCATCCTCAAACATCGCAAGATGCGTGACTGGCTTTCTTACTATAATTATCCCAGAGACCTGTGTCCATGGATGGGCAACAGTCACAAGCTATGGCTTTGGAGGTTCATACTGGACCTTAGGAAAATCTCCTTCTCCAACAGGGTGGTGAAGCTCTAGGTCAGATCACCAGAGAGGTGTGAGGTCTCACTGATGTGAGTTCCCACAGGGATACTTCAAAGATCCTTCAAAGTCTTCAATTTCTACCTTAGGACTTCTTTTTTAGCCATTTTTTGTATCCCCTGCTTCTCAGGAGGTCTGTTAAGAGCATGCCTAATGGAGAGGTCATCATGATTGGTATGGAATGCTTGGTCTCCCCTGTTTGTGGAAAACAAACTATTTTGTCTGAGGTTTGTGGCTGTGAGAAGATTAAGGAACTTCATCTCTTTTTCATTATTCTAGCATGTATAGTGTCTGAGTCCCATTACTTCCTAGGAGACCCTTAATGAGGCATGGTACCTATTCATTGACAAAATATAATGTTCCTTAATCTTCTTGCAGCCACAAAACAGATACAATTTTGCTTATTTTTTCAGCACGGAGGAAGATTTTCCCTTCAGAAGGTCCCTTGAGTTATGCATGGCTCAAGTCCAAAGACCCTGGTGGAAAATCAGGAGGCTGCAAAGGCTTAAGCAGAGCATTGCAATCCCTGTGGTCCCATGCTGTGTATGCCACTCTTGTACACTTTTGTGCGTAAGTTTTCTATGGGAGCGGTGAGTTCTGATTTCTCCAGAGCCGCTGTTGCCCAGCAGGATCACGGAAGACCCTGGTGCCCACTCAGTCCATCCCATTTCCCACCAGTGACCAAGTATGCCATTCTAAATAAGATGTTCACTCTGCCTCTGTCTCCAGAAACAGGCAGGTTCAAAAACTGCTGGATCATGTATATATCAACATGCAGACTGACACAGGAGGACTTCAGATCAAGAGGATTATGTGTCACTGACTTCAAAGAGTCTACAGATGTAGAAAACTGAAGAGGATGGTGTTCTAATTCCTTTTATTCTGCTCTGGAAATAGCCAGATGACAGCAAAAGGATGGAAGGAGATTCAAAGGGGATCAGTTTGGATTTTTCTACATTCATAGCCATTCATTTTTCTACAAAAGACGTTACTAGCACAATAGGTATTTTGTCTTGTCGAAATTGCTGTAGCAGTATGCAGGTGGAAGGAGCGGGATTGTTTAATATGATGAATAGGAGCCTGAGGGGACACCTGCAAGTGACCTGCAGTACTTGAAGGGCAGCTACAAAGAAGACAGAACCAAGCTCTTTGCAGTGGTACCAGGTGATATAATAAGGGGCAATAGACAAAACCATGGCTTGGGACATTCAAGGTGAATAATAGGAAAAGCTTGTTCCCCAAGACAGTGGTGCAGCCCTGGGACAGTTCACCAGACAAATGGGGGGAATCATCATCCTTGAAAGTTTCCCAGACTTGGCTAGGCAAGCCTGATAGTCCTGTGGTCCTGGTCCTTTCCTTCTAGGATTTTACCGGCATATTGGAGGCAAATATTTTGGACACTCATCTTTTTCAGTTACTCTTGCTCTTTCTGTTACCTCATTTTTTTTCTTACAGGGTGGGAAGATCCCAATACGGTGGACAGCACCTGAGGCAATTCAGTACCGAAAATTCACTTCTGCCAGTGATGTGTGGAGCTATGGAATAGTCATGTGGGAGGTGATGTCATATGGCGAACGGCCTTACTGGGATATGACCAATCAAGATGTGAGTTGTTAAGAAACAAGGAGCAGAAACACTGAAATTTGTAGCATTGCAAGGTCAAAGCATGGCTACAGCTAGACAAGGCCTGAGGCATGTCCGGAGCCTTCTCTCTCATGGGTGATGTTTCCAAGGTCAACACCTTTGGGCATAACTTTGGCTTTTGTTCGTGTCTGGTTCATTGTGTGAGGTTAGGGATTGTACAACACCCACTGCAGTAGGACAGGCTTAATGTGAGTACCCTCAGTAGTGGTAGAGAGATGCCCAGGAGGAAAGGGAGCAGGCAGGTGGAAAATGAAATGCTGCCACTGACCTGAAAGCTCCTGGAGCAGCAGGCAGACCACAGGTATCTGATGAAAGTCTGTTATAGAGTCATAGAATGGTTTAGGTTGGAAGGGACCTTTAAAGATCATATAGTCCAAACCCCCTGCCATGGTCAAGGACATCTTCCACCAGATGGTCATTAAATCTTCCATGGCAAGCTTGGACTGTGATGTGTAAGAAGCCAAGCAACTTATACACAGCTAGAAGCCAAAACCACATATGTATTTCAGAACATGCAGTTCTGAAATGTATTTCAGAACATGCTTAATTTGAAATACTTTATTACTCTTCTCTAATTCAGGTGGAACTGTTATGTCCACTCCTTGCTCCCTGGGACCCAGGCAGTTTCCATGAGCCCTTGTCTCCATGCAAGGATCACCTGTGTCTGCAGTCCACACCTTTACCATAACAATGCCATTCTCCCTGTTTCTCTTGACCTGATACCTGGGTGGTCAAAGCCCATCCATCCAGTGGCAGTGGGTGCCATGCAGAGTGCTACACCTGCACATGTGCGTCCAGAAGACCCCTTTGGTGTGGGGCTCCCAGGTCTCTTGTAACATCGTCTGTCTGAAGAGCTGCCCTTCTTCATGCAGTCTTCACCTCGTGAACCCGCAGGATCTAACACAAAGATCTAACACAAAGGTCTGGGGTAGACCCTTGATGGTCAGAAAGCTTGTCCTCCCACTCTGCTGCAAGCCTGGGTCTTGCAAACCTGCATGTTACTGCATCTGCTTGGCTTCCAGCTTGTTTCAGAGCTGCCTCTGGGCAGTCCATTGGAAGCCTTCGGACTGCCACATCCATCTTACAAGGGGAGAATGAGAGCCAAGCTCCCACCTGTCTCCTGCAACTCCTCCTGCCCTAAAGGCAAATCAGACCCTTTTCAAGTCAATATAGCTCCATCCATGCCATTTCAAGTTTCTCCAGAGTGGGACAATTTCCTCCATAGTGCCTGGTGAGGAATTTATTAATTTAAGTGAGTCCCCAACACCTGGAGCAGATACATGATATCTTAGCATCTTTGGCTGCTCATGGCATGCTTCCCCCAGCTCCTGGCATACCAGAAAAGTCTTTGCTTTAATTGTTTAAGTCAAAGGGAAAGGAGTTAGGGGTATGCCCTTCTCAGAAAGGGCTATTCACTTCCCGTTAAGGCTTCATTGTCGCCTGCAGTTTCAAGCATTTCCTGCAGCCAGGTGTCACTGCCCTTCTCCCTGCTTTAGCATCCCTCTGTACACATAGAACTCTGCTGTCCCCCTCCGTTGTCCTCCTCCCCTGGACCTCTCTCCTCAATGGTTTCTCCTGCCGCAACCCCTGTGTTGTGGCAGCACTGTTTCAGCCGACAGGGATAGCAGAGCCTGTGCTGGTCTCCTCAGCACAGCCTGCTGCATGGCACCTGGCCCCAGCCTCTTCTCCCTCTCCTTCTGCCATAGGACATTGCGCCCCAGAAGCTGTCACCACTTAATTGCAGCTGGTCCTCTTTGCGAATGAGCGCGTGGTGGATATTCGCTGCAGATTAGCCTCCTGACCCCGGGGTGTGAGTGCCTGGGGAGGCTGGGAGGGAGAGGAGATGGAGAGTGCAGCCTCTGCCCCCTCATTGGATGCATCTGCTGGCAGCAAGGCGGGCAGCTTGGTGGGAAATTGTTCGATCCATGCCAGACACAAGCACTTGATGCTTGCATGATGGCCCTCCCCAGTCCTGCTCCCCCCATGCTTCCCCTCCCCTCTGTCTCGGGTCGATCTGCCATCCAGAGAGCTGGGAGAGGCTGCAGCTTGCACCTCTTGGGAGAAACCCTGAACGGGAGCCAATAGCTGCACAAAGAACACCAGCGATGCCTCAGATCGTACCTTCACAGGCCCAGTGGGCCACAGTCATGTCCATCCAGGGGGGCAGAGGGGAGGGAGGACTCTCCATCTGGCACATTTTGGCAGCAGCGGTACCAGCCCCTATCTGTCTTGGGTCAGCCTGCCCAGCACCTTGGCCACACACATCAGTGTCTGGACCACTCTCCCAATCCATTCTCTGCCTGAAGCCACAGTCTGTCTTAAACCCTGCCAGATGCCCCACCTCACACCCTGGATTGCTTTTCATGGATCTGCCACCTACCCTCTCTTGGAGCAGCAGCCTCCTACTGCCGCAGCACCTCCAGTGTCACCTCTAACAACTCTTCCCTGCTGCTGTCATAATGCCAACTGCAGTATCCTTGATTTTCTCTCTGCAGCCTTTCTGCTCAACAATGTATTCATCGTGTTGCTGTATGGGTATGGCTAGTCCTTCCCCAGAGGCTCGTACAGCCATGGGGTCACCCATCAGACAGATTTCTATCCTTGGAAGTATGCAAGACATGCTGGACAAAACCACGGCAGCCTTAATTGCATGGTGAGAATAACCAGAGACATTGAGGTCCTTCCTCTGGATCCCTGAAGGAGGTTCTGTCAATCTCCCTCCCCTTTTTTATGATCACTGTGGGAAGCTGGTTATTTCAAATGCCACCCCTGATTTCAGTTACTACAGTATCCTCAGTTCTGCTCTTATCCTGACTTCTGTTACTCATTGCCATGCACAAGCCTGTTTCTAGTGTGCATGGCTCCTGCTCACCTTCTGTTGCCTGTGCTGTGTGTATGACCGTAGGATGCATAAGGCCAAGAGGGTAGGAGAAGCCTGCCTGTTACATGCCTCTGTCAGAGGAACGTATACCTCCAGAAGAAGCTGTGCAGCTCCATCCTCTTTGATTACCCAGGAGAGGACGGAGGGCTACAGGTGCAGAGTGACAGGACGTTGGGGTGCCCCTGGAAGAAGATCCTCTAGCCCTTGTGCATGTGCTGTTGCCACTGAACCTTGCAAGACCAGGCATTTTCCCAGGTCGTGTGGTGCAGTAAGGAGAGATCAAACAGGCAGCAGCCAAAGCCTTCTCGCATTGGCCCCCAGAGCCACAGCATGGCTTAGGCAAGGTGTGCTGCAACCCTTCTCCGCATGCTGTAGCAAAGTTCTCCTGTGCCTGGCTCTGCTGACCAAAGTCTTGGTCCTCCCCACTGTGTGCTTCAGTTTGCATGTACACAGGACTGTGGGGATATCCAGCTCTTACTACTGGCTCGGTGCACCCAGCCCTGTCCCGTGCCACAACACTGTTGCCTGGAAGGGCTGGGTTGTTGGCAGGAGTAGAAAGCACTACTGGAGGAAGGAAAACATAAGGGAAGTCTCCCCTGTCTGTAACTCGTGAGCAGACCCTTCACTGTATGGGGATGTTCTCCTCCCAGTGAGCCATTGCATTGTGCTGTGTACCCATGGGAAAATATTAACCCTTCTCTCTGACTCACCTTTCTCATGTCTGGAGCTGTGGGCTCACACATCCTTTTCAAGGTAGGTCTCTTTTCCCAGATTAGGAGACTGATGGGTGTAGCTCATCACAAGGAGTCAGCAAGGCTGCGTGTGGGCTGAGCCAGGCTGGCATCACCTTACAGGATGACATGACATGCAGAGGGCTGGGAGTTAGAGAGTAGTGTGTTGCTGCAAGAATAGGTGGCCAAGAGTTAAGTGTGGCAAGAATAAGTGGCAGCAGTTAAGTGTAGGCAGAGCAGCCCCACTGCAGTATGGTTGACCCAGTCACCCTCAGGAAAGAAAAGGAACGCTATGAATTAAATAGGTTTTATTGCCACTGTATTGATCTCTTTTATCACCTCCATCTGCAGGTGATAAATGCTATCGAGCAGGACTATCGGTTGCCACCGCCTATGGATTGTCCAAATGCCCTGCACCAGCTAATGCTTGACTGTTGGCAGAAGGATCGAAACCACAGACCCAAATTTGGGCAAATTGTCAACACCTTGGATAAAATGATCCGAAATCCTAATAGCCTGAAAGCCATGGCACCTCTTTCCTCTGGGTATGTATCTCTGCCTTCCTCTTGTCCTCTGGCTTCTATTTGCAGATCTTCTGTCCTTTGCATCCTGGTGGGCACCATCCTTGCATCTCTCTAGGCTAGCTATTTTAAAGGCAGCTTGGCCTGTGTTGTTTGGTCCTTTATTGGAAGTGCATTAAAAGATGCCATGATCACTCTGGTCCTTCTCCTTGGACAAGTTAGATCTGGTGAACACAGACAGTTCGTTGGGTTGGACAGTGTACCCTGCACAGTTAGAAGAGCAGCTTGGTTTCACATACACAATTGCTGGATGGGTGTGGTGTGACTTTGGTAGTCTGATCACACATGCAGTGGAGGCAGATAAAGCCTCATCAGGCAGAATGATGTTTTCCTGGACTGGGTGCAGATGCACCAACTTGTGGGAAGCACTGGTCCCATTATGGGAATGTACTTTCTCCCCTTGTGCAGCCAGGATTTTAGAGCTGCACCCCATCATCTTTGATGGCTCCTACCTCTTCTGTACAAAGTGATCCAGAAAGACTTCTCTGATGCTCTACACTCAGTTAAATAGAGTGCTTTCTCAGTGGTACTTCTTAATAGGGTGTGGTGCAGGCACTGTGAATGATGCTGGTCCAGCTGACGCAGGGTGCAGAAATGCACGTGCTTGCCGCTGTTTGTTCTGCTCATTCCCCATTTCTGTGTTTCAGGATGAACCTCCCCCTGCTTGACCGCACAATCCCAGATTATACCAGCTTCAACACTGTGGATGAATGGCTGGATGCCATCAAGATGAGCCAGTACAAGGAGAGCTTTGCCAGTGCTGGCTTCACCACCTTTGACGTGGTATCTCAGATGACTGTAGAGTAAGTGCCCAGGCTTCTAGAACCAAAGCACAAGGAAAAGTCTCAGTAGTTTAAGAGCAGTTGGTTGTTATTGAATTAGTTTTTATTTTCACATGATGTAGTTTTAGTTTTATAGAATTTGTCGCTTTGTGGACTCACTTTTAGCCTATTCAGTTCCTGCAGAACTACTCTGTCCTGCAGGCTCTATCTTGTTTCCAGACTGTGTCTGTCTGTCACTCCATATGTGCAGAATTCATTTCCACGCTATCAGGCTGCATGTCCTCACTGTGAAAATGAAAACCCCCACGAGGGTCTCCAAAACCTCAGCATGGAATGAACGGAGATTTCAGGCCAGCATCAGGCAATTCTCCAGCCACTCAAGAGCACTTTTAGACTCCACAGTCCTCCTGGATGTATGGTTTATTGACGATGGAGACAAGCATGCTGCAAACAAATTTCTGCCTAAGAAAGGCCTCTGAAAGTCCAGATGGTTTCAGATTTGTTCTGAATTGTCCTGCATCTACTAAAAACATCCCTCGGTGGCAAAATTTTAGCAAGTTCTTCAGAGAAAGCAGGCAGCTGAAACCCATTTGTGGTGGTTTTTGAAATCCCTTGGGGCTAGCTGGGGCTTTGATGCCTCTGGTGAAAGATTTGTGGTTGGTTGCAGTTAGCTTTAGAAACCCTGCCTAAGAAAGCGCCAAGCATTAAAGCCATCTGTAAGTACTACGATGTCTCTGTGCCTGGTAACCAGGAAGATTTTTGGATTTGATGCCTAATTCCACACTTTAAATCTACCAATGAATCAGAATCCATTCTCGCAAACAGCCCAACTGACCTTTTTGGGCTTCTTGTTGTTATTTGCTGCCAGGAAATTTGCTGCCAGAATAGCTTTGACCAAACTGGGACATCACACCCGCACCACAACCCAACCCTTCCTAGGTTGTGCTATTTGCAATATATGTAACAGCAAACAGTTCTGCAGGCAGTTCCCCAGCAGTCTGGTTTTTCACAGACATGCTCAGTGTCTCTTAAACACCACTTTTCCCAGTTCCCTACCATGTCTCTCACAATATATTCTAAGTCCTCTCCGAGTGCCTTCATCACAATCACCAGGGTGTCCTCAGCTCATGTCCCCACCAATTTTCACAAAGCTCCCTTCCACATTTCTCACCTGTTTGGTTGGACATAATAATAGAGAGAAGGACACTCCAATCCTTTTTCATTGGGAAATCATGCTGCGACGTTACTTGAAACCACCTTCTAATGTCCTTTGGTCTTTGCAGAAGTAGATAATCATGTAAGTGGAGCTGAATTGCCATGAGACACTGTTTTCTTCAAATTCGGATAGCCAGCAAAGTATAAATGTTCACTGAAGTCTGCTTCAGTTCACCAGATCCACATGATTTCGACACTGACCTACTTGGAAGGTTTCTCACTGTTTTGTCTGCAGGCTGGGACACCTGGGCCACCAAAGGATCTATGCTCAGGGCGAAAAGCTTAGGAAGCGTAGGGCTGTGCAGAGCCACAGTATTATTCTGGTTTACAGACATGAGTGAAGACTTTGGGCTTTGTTACCAATCAGAACAAAAGCAAAAGTCAAAGTGCCAAACTTGTCCAAGGAGGAAAATTCCCTAGCTCGGCACATCTAGCTGGGGCAGAGGAGGGAATGGAAAGCTCCTGCAGCAGGAAAAGGAGTCACTGTGAAGGACACCATCCTGGGTGCCAGAGTTGTGTAGTGTGCTAGCAGGTTTCCTGCTATGCTGAGAAAGAGCGTGGGTGGCAAAGCTGTGGCTTGGGTGTTCACTGTCACACTGATCTTAGAGGGCATGGGCTGAAGCATGCTCCAATGGTGGTCTCCAATTGGTTACCACCAGCCAGAATGTGTAAATCTGTGGCATGCCCGTGCCCAGCTTTCCTTCTTCATCCTCCTTTTGTTTGACCAAAGAGACAAGGTTTAAGCAAACTGTAAAGCAAACATAGAGGCCTAAGTGCCTTTCATGCTAGAGGATTTTCTTCCACCTTTCCTTGGAGCTGCTGTTTACCCTTCTTTGCCCATGAACTTCTACTCCAAAACAGGCAAGGGCTTTGCCACTCTTCTGTTCCTAACACTTCCATCACCTAAGTAGAAAAGGCAACTGAAAATCCTTAGAGTCAGGTATGGGTCACGTCTCATGAATGCCATTCCCTGATCAGAAGAATTCATGACTGAGATGTGTCCACCAAGAGGGAAATGAGTGGCAAACTCAGCTGGAGTGACCACAGATAGGACCAACGCAGAGTCACAGTCATGCTTTTGGCATGACCTTATTTTTCCCAGATGCCTAATATCTATAAAAAATAGCAGCAGTGCAAAAATTAGATTCCCATAGTTTAGCAAAGGGAAACTGCCCTCAGGGACAAGGGAGCAGAACAGAGCTAGCAGATCTTAAAGGATGCTTTCCACAGAGCACAAGAGCTCTCAATCCCCAGGTGTAAGAAATCAGGAAAGGAAGGCGAGAGACCGGTGTGGCTGAGTTGAGACCTGCTGGTCAAACAAAAGGGCAAGCAGGAGATGCACAAGCAGGGACAGGTATCCTGGGAAGAGTATAGGGACACTGCCCAGTTCTGTAGTGATGGGGTCAGGAAGGCCAAGGCACAGCTGGAGCAGAACTTGACAAGGGCGCAAAGAATAATAAGGTTTCAGGTATGTCAGCCAGAAAAAGAAGGTCAAAGAAAATGTACCCCGCCTAAAGAGCGAGACTGGCAAACTGGTAACAACAGACGGAGAAGGCTGAGGTACCCAACAACTTTTTTGCCTCAGCCTTCACTGGCAGCCTCTCTCCCTGCACCTCTTAAGTGGATGGACCACAAGACAGGGACTGGGGGTGCAAAGTCCCGCTGTGAGAGAAGATCAGGTTCATGACCACCTGAGGAACCTGAACATACAGAATTCTATGGGACCAGATGAGATGTATCCCAGAATCCTGAGGGAATTGCCTCGTGTAGTTGCCAAGCCACTGTCCATAATATTTGAAAAGCAGTCATGTGAGGTCTCTGGTGACTGGAAAAAGGGAAACACAGCACCCATTCTTAAAAAGGGGAGAAAGGAGGGCCCTGGGCACTACCACCCTGTCAGCCTCACCTCTGTGCCTGGGAAGATCATGGAACAGATCCTCCTAGAAGCTATGCTAATGCATGTGGAGGACAGGGAGGTGATTCGAGACAGCCAGCATGGCTTCACCAAGGCCAAGTCCTGCCTACCAACCTAGTGGCCTTCTGTGATGGAATGACTACATCAGTGGACAAGGGAAGAGCTACGGATCTCGTCTGTCTGGACTTCTGTAAGGCCTTTGACACGGTCCCCCTCCCCAAAATTGGAGAGATATGGATTTGGTGGGTGGACTGTTCGGTGGATGAGGAATCAATCGGATGGTCCCATCCAGAGGGTAGTGGTCAATGGCTCAATGTCCAGATGAAGATCAGTGACAAGTGGTGTCTGTATTTGGACCAGTACTGTTCAATATCTTCATCAATGACATAGGCAGTGGGAACAAGGCCACCATCAGCAAGTTCGCAGACAACACCAAGCTGAGTGGTGCAGTTAACACACCTGAGGGATGGAATGCCATCCAGAGGTACCTGGACAAGCTTGAGAAATGGGCCCATGTGAACCTTACGAGGTTCAATAAGGCCAAGTGCAAGGTCCTGCACATGGATTGTGGCAATGCTCAGTACCAATACAGGCTGGGGAATGAAGGGATTGAGAGCAACCCTGAGGAGAAGGACTTGGGGGTACTGGTGGATATAAAGCTGGACATGAGCCAGCAATGCGAGCTTGCAGCCCAGAAAGACAATGGTATCCTGGGCTGCATAAAAAACAGCGTGGCCAGCAGGTCAAGGGAGGTGATTCTGCCCCTCTACTCCACTCTTGTGAGACCCCACATGGAGTACTGCATTCAGCTCTGGAGTCCCCAACATAAGAAGGACGTGGACCTGCTGGAGCGTGTCCAGAGGAAGCCATGGAGATGCTCCAGGGGCTGGAAAAAGGGAAGCACCTGGAGCACCTCTCCTCTGAGTATAGCTGAGAGTTGGGGCTGTTCAGCCTGGAGAAGAGAAGGCTCTGGGGAGACCTTATTGTGGCCTTTCAGTACTACAGGGCTACAGGAGAGCTGGGGACAAACTTTTTAGCAGGGCATGTAGTGATAGCACAAGGGGCAATGGTTTTAAACTAAAAGAAGGTAATTTTAGACTAGATATAAAGAAGAAATTTTTTATGATGAGGGTGGTGAAACACGGGCCCAGGTTCCTGAGAGAGGTGGTAGATGTGCCATCCCTGGAAACATTCAGGGTCAGGTTGGATGGGTCTCTGGGCAACCTGATCTAGTTGAAGATGTCCCTGCTTATAGCAGGGGGGGGTGGACTAGATGGCCTTTAAAGGTCCCTTCTGACCCAAATTATTGATCCTCTGATTCTATGTTTCTAAGTAGCAAAGGTTTATCACTTCAGGAGTTTATCACTCCTCAGATCAAAGCAGAAGTAGCAAGAACAGCCATCATCTGCACAGAGGGAATGAGATTCACACTGATGAGGGTGTAGCACATCCTGTTCATATGTCTCCAGGGGTGGAAAAAATGGGTTACTGTGTCACAGAATGAGAGAGAAAATCCAAACATGCGAAGAAAGAAACAAAATGATACAAGAGTAGAAAACCTAAGGCTTTACAAAGAGAAGTTCACTTATAAGCAGTGAGCATAGCCTGTGGTATTTGATTTCACACTCTCTGTTGAGGCTTCCAGTACTGTGGGGGTGCTGCAGGTAGCAAATGCAAAGGTTGGGAGGATAAGCAAGGAAGAGTCAAAGAGAAAGAACTGAGGTTTCACCATGTTTGCATGCATTTGTTGCATTTATGGAATAAATCTACAGAAACTTCAGCTCCCTACACACCACCCTCATACATGAGCTTGTGAGAAAATGTCTTCTGATATTTATGCAATGTTTGTTTCTTTTCCTCCCAAAGGGACATTCTGCGAGTTGGGGTCACTTTAGCAGGACATCAGAAGAAAATTCTGAACAGTATCCAGGTGATGAGAGCACAGATGAACCAAATTCAGTCTGTGGAGGTTTGATAGCTACATGTCCTCCTCCTCCTCTTCCTTGAGGCCCTGCTCCCCTTTGCCCCTGTATGTCCGAGCTCTAGGTCTTGAGTGTTCTGCATGGACCAGAGACAGGCAGCTGCTCTGAGGATCATGGCAACAGGAAGAAATGCCCTGTCATCAATAACGAGAAGTCGCCAAGAGTTTCTAGAATTTAAGCAATGGAAAAAGGGAACAAAAAAGACAACTATTTTAAAATAAACAACTATGAAATATTTTTAAATAATAATAAAGCAATTGCATTCTTGAAAGGGCTCCAAGACCAATGGGAGTCTCCAAAGGAAGAGAAAAGAGCAGCTTAATCTATTTCCTTTTGCACAAGGATGCTGCAGATGGGCCCATACACCTCTGGAGCAATGAGACTTTTTCAAGAAGGTGAGCGCAAAGAAAGGTCACAAGAAGCACTTCTCTTTCTCATGTGGGATGGCAGCTCTGGGAATGTCCTGCAGCCAGCAGTCCTTCCTGAAAGCACCTGTTAGCAAATCAAAGAGGAGAGAGAGCTGAAGCTCTTTGGTGCTGTGGAACCAAGTGCATCTCAGAAATTGATGGACTTCTTCAAAAACTGAAGACTTTTTTTAAAAAAATAAATAAACTGAGACTAGAAGAGGCTGTTTCCAACAAATGAGAAGGAATCTGTAATGCTTGGGGGGGTGGGGATGGGGAAAACCAATCCTTTTTACATCTCTTATTTTCTCTTGTCATGGAACAGTTTCGTGAGTGACAGTTTCCTAAGGGTCCGTCCGTCCACCCTCCAATGGCATCATTGTCTCATACATATCATATGCACAAGACTTTTAGTGATGTCCACACTAGATGCCAATGATCTTTTCCCAGAAGACTTCCCAAGTACAGTATGTAGTAGTTTTTGATTACAAATGCTGACGTGTACCCTTATTTTTCGGTTGTCATTGTTGGGAGATTTGTCCTTTTACCTTGTTTTGTTAACACCATTTTGTGAGTTTGGGGTTGGAAATTTTTGGTTGGTTGGGGTTTTTTTTTAATGAAAAAGAAATGACATCTCCAAGCATCATATCATTCAAGAACTTAAATCCCTCCCCTGTGGAAGGAAAAATTGCAGCTTATTGACAATGTGCCAGGAGAAAAATTTTTTATATGCACATTTCCTCCTGTTTGGTTGGTTGTTATTTTGCTATTTGTCATGGCCTGACAGATGTTCCTAACTGTTGGGTTTCCAGTTGTTCGCCAAGATGAAAGGACCATCTGCTCAATTCAGGGTTGCTGGTGCAAGGGTGAGCAGCATCACAGAGGGTTTTCCGGAGAGGGGAGGGCTGCAGGGGGGGAGGGAAAGACGGTGGGGCAGATGGGTTGTGGGGGGGAATGTTGACTCCACAGGTGGCTGTCAGAGCCCTTTGGAAATGTCTGACTGCTTAGGAAGGTGTCAGATTGGTGCATGTACCACAGAAAGGCAACGTAAGCCTGGTCCTCTAAGAGGAGCTTGCAGCACATGGTTTCTCGGAGTCCAAATTGTGTTAGCCGCCAGGTTCTGGATGGTTCGCTACAGTAACCAAACTCTGCAGATGTGCTCTGTGCACTTTGGGGACCCAGTCCCTTCGTTAGACGACACGTGGGAGCTCTGAGCCAGCTTCAGTCTCAGCCAGTTGCCTCGAGGGGGGCCTGGGACAGCAAAGGCAAAAACTCTGATCTGGTAGCCCGGGTCTCCGGAGGCAAAATGCTGTGGTTGAAGTTGAATGGTGGATTTATAAATAACTGAAACAAATACTTTAGTTACTGACAAGGTCTTTGGTATGTGTAAATACCACCAACCAAGTGCAGGCGGATACAAATGAGAATTGGGCTTGTTCTCCCTGTTCAGCCCCACCTTTTAAACATGCCTACCACCACCCACCTCAGGCCATGTGTGGCATATTTCCACACATCTCCTGGCCATGGCTAGCATAACTTGTGTTTACACACCCTTGTCTGACATTGACATGTCATTCATAGGGTCCTCCACTCGTTTTCAGCACCACTCACTGTTGAAGGCTTGTTCATTGGGACCTGGTTTGCTGTATTTTGCAGGAGCTGAATCCAAGAGGAAGTGTGTCTGCTGTGGGTAAAACTCGCAAGCTGTCTAGACCTCTGTGGCCAGACACCATCTCCCTAGACTGCTTGTAAAATATGAGGCCATTTATAAAACACTTAGCATTTTCCACTTGTGGGCCAGATCCAGCAACGAAGCACTTAAGAGTGGCAGCAGACCGTTCCCTACAAGTGAGAGTTACTTCTCTGCTTAGCTCTTGCACTGTCCCAGTTTTTGGTGCACAGCTTCAGCAGCAGGGGCCTTAACTGGAGGAATTCTCCCTCCAGACCCCATTCACTTGAAATCTCTAATGCAGGATTGTATTTTCTTTGCATATAGTACTTCCATGTTCTTGCATCCAAAACTGTATCTGTAGTTGTGTGAACATCAGTAGCAGGTGTGTGCTGGGTAAATGGGGACATATTCTGCACATATTGTCCCCAGTGCATCCTCTCTGACAGTGATGCCATTGCCCTGCATCTCTTTCAAATGGCAGAATATGATGTAGAGAGAGTGAGGGGTGAGTGGACTATAGGCTTGTTTCATGCAGGTTCTGCCTGGACATAATCAGCTTTCTGTCCTATATCCAGCCTGTTGTAATCTGTGTATCTAGCAATGGGATGCTTTTAATGCCCTTCCATTTAAAAAGCACTGCTCCTGGAAATGGATTCAACTTTTAAAGAGTAGCATGCAGAAATCAATGGTGTCAACTAAACCACATGCAGTGCTTGCACAGGGCACACAGGGAAATGGAGGTTCTCTGTGAACTCTGTCCTGTAGAAGTGCGGAGCAGTAGTGAGAATTGTTCCCATGGTGTGTTTCCTAGCTGCTGTATTTAACAAGGAACAGTTGTCAGTCTTTCCCAAAGACATGTCTGAAGCTGTTTGGTGGCAGTCCAGGGTGAGGGAGGCACAGTGCTGTGCCAAGTTGTCTAGCCACAGCCAACCAGCTACTTTATGTAAAAGGGAGCTTTGCAAGGAGAGCAGTCTCACTAGAAAATTCACCAGCAAATTCCTGTGGGGCAGCCATGTGGAAGTGGCACGTGATGCCCTTCAGTTGTCTTTCCCAGACAATTCTTGACTGTTCTTTGCCATCCCTTACATTCCTGCAGACACTAAGGAGGAGCAATCGACAGGCAGCATCCCTTCAGACCCAGTCATTAATAGACAGGGCTTGAAAGGGCACTTCAGGTCTTCTTCATTTGGAGACATTTTGTCTTAATGCACTGAATCTCCTTGATGGCTAGCATTATACAGATCTACCTACCAGACCCAACCCACTGTGAAGGATGGGACCATACGGAGCTCAGTGCCACAACTCGCCAAAGCCGTGGCGACTGTCTGTAGGACAGAGAAAGCACATCCTTGTCACTTCTTCTGACCAAAAATCACATGGTGTTGGTACTAAAAGTAACACATTCCCATCTGTTTATACCAGGCATCTCTGTGACATCTGTCTGTATTTGGCTGTGTAAGACTAATGGAAGACTGGACCTAAAATAGAAATGACCCATAAAACACTGCGATTTTCTGCATCCCCCAGGCTCTCCTGGGAGCACGAGGAACCAAGTTCCTGTAAAGTACTTTGGTTGTAAATGCCGCCGGAACACGCTCCAGTGGAAGGCAGAGTCACTGAAGTGGCTTTAACATCTTTATTTCATGGGTATCAAATGTACTGCTGTGAAATATGAGTCTTAACGGCAAAATTCAACTTCATGGGGAGAACATGTAACAAGGGAAAAAGCACTTGCTAACACTGACACTGTGAAATACTGTTGTGCATGTGCATGTGTGCATGTGTGAATACTTAACAAAAATTATCACAATGAGATTTTCGGGCACCTTGTTGCAATTTTCACATTTCCCCTCCACCTTTCAAGCTACCTCCCAGACTTACCCTTCTCCTCCTCTGTTTCCCACTGCCATTTGCTGCTGAGGGTCACCCGTGTCTGGTGACAGCAGTCGGTAGGAGAGCTGAGCAGGATCCTAGGTAGAAAATACTGTTGGTTGGCCAGTGATAAGGTCAAATCATGCAGAGCATCATGGGCCAGAGTGGAGAATAGTAAAAGGTTAAAATATATTTAGTGGGTCATTTTCAACTGTTGCCACAAGCCCTTTACCTGGAATGAACAGCACAGGGGTGTGCCAGGCAAAAGGAAAACCAAACTTGTAAGACACAGCACTGCCATGAGGAATCGGTTGCCCTTGCCAGCTGTGGGGACACAGAAACAGGGCACTACGAACTGCACTTTCCCTCCCCAAATTACCTTCCCCCCTCCCCAGTAAAATCTCAGAACTACCTTTGATAAACTTAATGGAGATTTGTAGTTTTCAGCAGCAGAGGAGCTGCTTGCTACAGTCCAGCTTCTCCTCTCCATCGTATCCTCGCTACTGAACAGTAGCTTTCAGTGGCAGCAATCCACACACAGGGCTTCCATGTGGTCTGGGTAAATGTGGCTCTCACAGGCTTACCAGTTATGCAGTATTGATTTAGTATTGTAATTCAAATGTAGAGTTTTATCCCACAAGTCCATGCCAGTCATTATATAGCAGAGTCATCTTGTTAGCATCATTGAACCGCTATGCACTAGTGTTAGTGAGAAGAGAACCATGTGCAGGGAAGCATATAAAATTGTACAACCATGTGCAAGACTAGGGAGAAAGCAGTGCTACATCTTCACTCTTGGCCAGCTACAATAGCAGGATCCTGTAGTCTTCACAGACTGCTTACACACTATGCAGTGCAGAGTCGCCTCCTGGTTTGGCATGCCACAAACGAAGGAGAGAGGATATTTTATCAGTATTAGGTGCTGGCTATACTAATAATACCTTTCCCTTGAAGGTGTTCTTTGAATTGGTGTTAAAGGAAAGGTTCTTTTCCAGTAATCATCACACAGGCTGCAGATCAGCAGGGGCCTGTAGAGAAAAACTCTTGGTGGGTTTGAGCAGTCAAGAAAACTTGTTATATTTTCCAAGCTGAAACCTGGAGTCAGGGCTTGAACTCTGCTGCAGCATCAACAGTTGTATCCTCTGATGATACAATGAATCTGTGGCTGCCTTGGATGTATGAATCCCGAGTGTCTGGAAGTATCAGTGTTGCCTGGTTTGTTTTAGTGGAGTCTGCTTTTTTAATGT